GGGTTATAGGCTTTAGGGTTTATAGGGTTTAGGGCTTATAGGGTTTATAGGGTTTATAATAGGGGTTATAGGTGTTATAGGGTTTTAGGGTTTAGGGTTTATAGGGTTTAGGGTTTAGGGTTTATAGGGTTTAGGGCATATAGGGTTTATGGGGTTTAGGGTTTATAGGGTTTAGGGTTTAGGGTTTATAGGGTTTAAGGTTTAGGGTTTATAGGGTTTAAGGTTTAGGGTTCATAGGGTTTAGGGTTTAAAGGGTTTAGGGTTTAAAGGGTGTAGGGTTTATAGGGTTTAGGGTTTAGGGTTATTCTCCAAGTCTTCATGCCGCGATTCCAATCCGAGACTAGGCCAGGCGGATCAAACAGACATGAAGAAAGAAACCCTAAATGTAGGGGCCTTAATGATTAGAATCGGGTTTTGGGGTAAATTATACTGTAATTATAATAAGCAGCCCCTCCCCCCCTCCTCCCGAAAATAGTATAGGTAATGATGTAGGCCCCTTACAACCCCCGAAAAGCCCTGCAACTCCGAAACACTCTTACGAAGAATGCCCTAAACCCTAAACCCTAAACCCTAAGAGTTTGCCGCCTGATGCTCCAGCTCCGGGGAATCCGGAGCTGGGCCGACCAGCCAAACCTTCAAGGCTTTGGGATTTGGGTAGTTCTCTAAATTAGGATCCCTTTTAGGGTCCTTTTTACAAGGGTGCCGTACTATATTGGGGACCCAAAAAGGGACCCTGATTTAGAGAACTACCCATTTACAGCGAATCCCAGCAAGCTGGAACAAAGCCGTAGGAGTATTAGTGCTAGCATCCCTTATACTTTGCGTTAAAGGAATGGGGACATTGATGCTCCAAGCTTTCTGGCTTCTAGCGTAGAGGGGGTTTCATGGTTTCTGGTTTGATAAGGTTTTGCCGCTTTTGGGCTTTGGGGCCAAGGACTTTTCATGTGGGGCTCAGGGTTTTAGGCTTTGCGGAGTCTTGGGTTTAAGGGCCAGGTGACTGTCATGGTGATGCTCTCTGACGAGCTTGGTCGCAGTCCGGCTACCCAGACCCCCAAAAGGATCTAAAAAATAGATCCCCTAAGGGGGTTCCTGTAAAGTACCCTTTAGTAGTTAGGGTCCCTAATTAGGGGATCTATTTTTTCAGATCTTTTTGGGGGTCTGGGTAATGAAGGAGCCTTGAGAATTAGAACACGGTCTTGCGACTCATTGCACGATACCCACAACAAGGAACCCCAAAATGGTATTGGTAATTGTTTTGGGTTTAGGGTTTAGGGTTTAGGGTTTAGGGTTTAGGGGTAATTGTTTAGGCCCCTGATTACGTTCCTCTGAGCTCTGAACGTTCAGGCGGTAGAGCAACCGCGGCGGAACGAATTGTGGCAAGCTGCGTGTCCTGGGCATCACAGGTGCCATCTTCCATCACAGACAGCATGTACCTGTGGCTCCAAGTACCGGAACCCTAAATATGCTACCTGTGTAGGATCCCTATTATATAAGTCCTTAGAAACGTAGGTTAAACCTTAAAACCCGTTCGAGCGCTCCCAATAAGCCCCCTAAACCCTAAACCCTAAACCCTAAACCCTAAACCCTATACCCTAAACCCTAAACCCTAAACCCTAAACCCGACTATGTTTTTGTGGCGTTTGGGGTTACGGATAGTCTTAGGAAGGCTTGAGCCCCACCAGTTCCGGGTTAAGGGTTTAGGGCTTAGGGTTTAGGGTTTCGGGTTTAGGGTTTAGGGTTTAGGGTTTAGGATTCTTCAGGGTTGAGGGGTGATGGAGTTTAAAGCTCAGGGTTGCTTTGTTTCCTCATGCAGGGACCCTAGCCATAGAACTGCTGAACCTAAGACGGTATGCAGTCGCTGTCGCGAAGGCTACTGGTAGCTCAGAAGTCTTTAAGAGCACCTGACCCATCGACTAAGCAACATATCGTCCATCATGTTCAGAACCCCTTTGATAATTTGGGGCACAAATCCGTACTAAAGATGTGTTGTGCTATGTGCGTCGAAGGATATGGCTATGACATAATAGGCGATATTCCTCATCTCACGGATCAAAGCCGTGTCTTGGAAAGCTGGCGCCCTTTCAAGGCAGGATGCTCCAGGATTTGCTCCAGAACATCAAGTTCCCCGGCATCTGGCTGACCTGGTCAAACGTGACACGGAAGCAGAAGGTTAGTAAGGGTGTTTGATTTAGGGTATCATGTGCGGTGTGGCAGTGTGGCAGTGCGGATGCGAAGCGACAGCAACGTCCAGCCGTGCAGAATAAACTGGCGGAGTCAAATCTCACTCAGGGGCCCTGGCTGTAGGCATGGGGGGAAAAGTTGGGCCACGAAGCCACAAATTGGCCCATTTTGGCGGTAGCAGCAATCACCTTGGCTCAGAACGCACCATGGCCGCAGCTTCTGCGACTTCCGGGAACCGGGAACCCCCCCTACTCCCCGGCCACAAGGGATTGCCTGCTTGCAGCTGTCTGGTGCGACAAACAAGTTGGGTTTAGGGTTTCGGCTTCAGGGTCCCCTAAACCTTAACCTTTAAGCCCCCAAACCCTAAACCCT